TTCCTCTGCCCCTTCGAAATCCAGCTTGTACTTCTGGGAGTTCTCGGTCCACATACTGCTGAAGCCTACCTTGGAGGATTTTGAGCATAACCTTGCTATGAGTGTAATTGTCCGATAGTTGGAGCATTCTTTGGCACTGCCCTTCTTTAGGATTGGGATGTAGACTGATCTTTTCTAATCCTCTAGCCACTGCTGAGTTTTGCAAATTTGCTGGCATATTGAGTGTAGCCCCTCAACAGCGTCATCTTTTAAGATTTTAAATAGTTCAACTGGAATGCCATCACCTCCACTGGCCTTGTTGTTAGCCATGCTTTCTAAGGACCACTTGACTTCACTTTCCACCATGTCTGGCTCGAGGTCAGCAACCACACTATCTGGGTTGTCCGGGACATCCAGATCTTTCTGGTATAATTCCTCTGTGTATTCTTGCCACTTCTTCTTGATGTCTTCTGCTTCTGTGAGGTCCCTACCATTTTTGCCCTTTATCATGTCCATCTTTGCACAAAATTTTCCTTTAATAACTCCAATTTTCTTGGAGGAATTATTTCTAAGCAATTTAGGTACCTGTAACAAATTACTTAGGGATAAGGAGAGTATAATAAAAGCAAGTACTAACAAGTACTTATAAAGTTACGTTTTCAGTGGTTACAAATGTCAGATTAGGGCTCCTGAGACTGGGGTCCAAATCCCCATTTGACAACTAAGCTCACTGGCAAACCTCTGGCAATCAAACTCTCTCAACCTAAGCTATTTCACAGGGCTGTTGTGGAGATAAAGTGAGGAGGAAAACAATATATGACACCTTCAGGTCATTAGAGGAAAGACGAGATATAGATGCAACAAAGAATTTAAATGGTTGTTAACTGCCGTCTAGGTGTTTCTGACTTATAGCTACACTAAAAATTAATGACCTCTGGAAGTTCCTATAGTTAGCAGCCCTGCTTAGGTCTTGGAAACCCAAAGGTTGTGGCTTCCTTTATTGAAACACTCCATCTCATGTAAATTCCCTCTTTTTCTCCTATCATTGACCTCCTATCCGTGTCTTTTACAATGAGTGTCACTGCTACTGTCAGATAATTTGCCAGTATCATCACTCACAACTGCTCTTCAAGAATTTAACCATGGCTGGAACTATCACCTCCTGTGACTGCTAATTCCTGGAGAGTGTTGATGCATTTTAATCTGATATCTCTGATTTGACCATTACACTTTCAACGACCCTGCTAGGAGACCAGACCTGGAATGAAGTCTAGTCTGTCAATTTCACTGACACACTCAAATCCATCATCCTGTTAAAGTGTGTACCCGAAAGGGGGAAAAAACATAAAAATATTAAGACATTGACAGAATTAATGAAGCATGTTGAAGCATACTATTGAACAAGAAAGTGTACTGTTCATCTTCAAAAACATTAGCCTAACTAATCTTGTTGGTGTACATCATCCAATCATCCTTGGCCTGTGGTTCATAATGATGTTGGAAGGGGCCTAAAAGGCCATTGAGTCCATTTTCACTTGTATTCTTTTTCACTTGTATTAAGCACGTGTGTGTGTGTTGGAATGAACAGATCAATCTGACTGACTGGCTGACATACAGACCCATACAAATAAACCATACTTGTTGAGTCACTGTAATTTTATTTTCTGGTAAAGAATGTTCAGAGGTCAGTGGCTCCTATCTTTCACTTACAAGGCTAATCTGTTCACCTCATCTCCAGGCATGAATATAACCTTCTAAAATGTTCTAAATTGTGGTCTGTCTTGTGAAGAAAGCACCTAGAAACAGAAACTAGTCCTTGCTCTACTTCATGATGCAATTGTATGTATTGTTCATTTTTAGAATGTCTGAAGAGGGCTTTAGTCATGGAAAATTTTTATGCATGCTGCTTTGAAGCAAGTCCCTCTTTGTTCAGTGGGGCTTATTAACAGTAAAGTGTCTATAGGACTGCCACCTTAAGCACTTCGCGTACTTAGAGAAACCTTGGGCCCGCAGACACTCTCAATTACTCACACACACACACACACACTCATACACAGTATTTTTTATTGTTATTTTGCATTTTTCCTCCCCCAACCTGCAAGAAATGGAATGCTGAAATATAGGTGATTTCTTCCTTTATTCTGCCGTGGGTCAAGTGCCTGAAGATGAAGGAAGATGTCACCAAGTACCATAGCTGTGCATCCTCACAGTTCTCAGAGGGGCTTTGGCAGACTTCTTTGAACCCCACTGACAAGAAACAGCACCACTTCAACAAAATGTGGCTCTGAGAGACTCAAACCTCTTGTCCTGGTGCCCAAGGGTGGAAATCAAAATAGCACTTTTTCAATAGGGCCATGAATCAACATGTAAATAAAAATGCCACTTAACATCCATATTTAAGAATGTTTGTAACACTTGTAGAATAATTGTATTTTCTTTCACCCAGGCTTGATCGCAATAATGCGTTTTAATATATCTTTCTCTCCATCATCCAAACGTGCTTGCGTTTTCTATAATTTTCCTTTGACAGCATAACATTAGATTGCTGATCACTCGAAAGGATTTCAGGATTTCCATTTCCAAAGAGGTGATGGTGATAATTCTGGCATGAGCTCTGTATGCTTCAAGGGGTTC